GGTTTTTGGATATTTCTTAGTACAACGTAAACTAATACCATCAATACAAAGCGTTAGTTATTCCTTAAAGCAATCAAGTCATTCATTAAAAGCAATTAGTTATCAATGAAAGTAATTATCTATTCAAAAAGCAAACTTGATTATAACCTAGTGACGCTGATGTCTTGTGTTTCAGTCCACGTTTTTGAGCTTGATGACCTCAACGGCCAGTGAAGCTGCGTCTTACGAGTTCACAACCCTGACGTGCATCCCAGGAGTCATAGAGGTGGGTGGAACCCTCCTCCCTTGAGCGCAGCAGCGGTGCTAAGAGAACCCAGACGTGGAAACGCGCCTGTTCCCGCCAGTTACGCTTGGGCTCCCGCTGAGCAGCGGCGATACCCGAGGTCTCTGCTGACTTCTGCTGTAAACTTCAGCAGGTCTCGTGTGCTTGCGGTCTCGAGCCTTCTGCACCCTGCAGTGCTGATTTAGCACTTCCCGAGGCTGCGCAGCTCTTCGGGATCGACCGCCCGAGCGGGGTTTTGCGGGCTGTCGTCCGGCTGACCTGAGCGATACGACGATTCTCAGCTGAATATTTTATAACCGCTATTGGCGCCATTGACCATCTGGCTGGCAACCTTGACAGATTTGTTTTTAATGAAGCTTTAAAAGAGGCAATCTGCGCTGTGATCAATTTGGAAAGAAAATACCACTACTCCTGTCCTTGAGGAGTTTTATTAGGGGTGGCCTGAGCATCCGTCAGTAAAGCAAATGATAGAGGGCATCAAACTGAGAAGTGTCTGAGAGTAATGAAAAAATCTGGGTCGGAATCGAAAGCAGAGTTAAATCCTGAAAGTCACCGTGTTGGTGTTAAACCGAACACAAATATTGTAACGTGTCCCAACGCGGCTGTGAGCTGCAGTCGGTCCCTAAAGCCGATGCTGAGGACTTGGCTGCAACGGTAGCTGGAGAGCCAGTGCCCCTGCAGGGCTGCCGAGTGAAAGCCTCCCGTCGTTTCCTGGGGCTGTGAGATCTGCCGCGCAGCTGAGCAGGCCTGATCCATCTCCCTAAGAGGTGGTGGCACTTGCTTGTTACTGGGCTTTCTCGTCAGACCAGGAAAGTCAGGGTTTGTTGGGTTTTTCGTTCTTTCCGTTTCACCAACTCGGGATAAACCTGGGCCGAGCTGACCTGTCAGGTTCACTCAGCTCCACTCTGCAGGCTTTGGACCCCAGCACGTGCTTGGGGTGTTCGAGGCAGCTCAGATGCCCTGCCCAAGGCTTTCAACTTTCCATCCTTGTGTTTCCTTTTCAGTACAAAGGAGCCAACATTCAGCTGCTGGATCTGCCTGGCATCATCGAAGGAGCAGCACAAGGTTGGCTGATCTCCGTGTTCGTGTCAAGGAGGGGTTTGCCCTCGAGAGCGTACCTGGGTGTCTCCAGCGTTAGCACATTGCCTGGGCCAATAGTTCCCACGTTGACTTTCCAAATTTTAGAGCCCTTGATCTTATGTGAGGCACGATTCTTATCCCCGAGCCCACGTAAGGTTCTATATGTAGCAGAAAGATGCTTTTCTGGAGGTGGGAGCCAAAGCAAGCCAGTCAATTCTCACCTTCTTGCGTGAGTGTTATCTTGCTCATCTGTTTTCTGGTACAGAGGAAATCTAAAGAAAGATGCTGGGGGAGGCGGAGGGGGAAGTCACAGCTAAACAGTAACCTCTTTTGACTAATTTCCTGAGTTCCTGCCAGTCCTCCCTTGACTCCTGGTTCTGGGAAGAGGTGTTGGCTTTGTCCCTCTGCCTCATCCTTGTCCTGATTGGCTGCTCGTGTCAGAAGATGCCTTGTGAAGCTTAGGAAAATCATGTCAGAAGATGCCTTAGGAAACTGTGGAAAACCTCCTAATGGTCTCTTCTTGGAGGAGCATGGCCTGGTTAATAAAGTCTCTCTCCTTTTTGACCAGGAAGTGTATGTAACCCCTCTGCACAGGGGCCCTAGAGCCCCCACCGCTGTTCTGGCTAAGCTGTCTCTGCTGCCAGGAGCTGCAGGTGTCGGGGGGTGTCCGTCCTGCTGGCAGAGGTGGCATTGCCACCCGTGCAGCTGCACCCAGATGGCTTGACAGACACTAGTTCGTGTAACCTGCGATGGAGGAGCAGCAGCAACGAGTGTTTGCTAGGGCTTGTGCTGGACAGAAGGCAGTATGGACCAGAGACCGAGGGGTGACCTCATCAGTGTTTGTAAATACCTGAAGGGCAGGTGCCAGGAGGGTGGAACCGGGCTCTTGGTGATGGCCCGTGACAGGACAAGGGCCAACGGGTGCAAGCTGGAGCACAGGAGGTTCCACGTGAACATAAGGAAAAACTTTTTCCCTGTGAGGGTGACAGAGCCCTGGAACAGGCTGCCACGCGAGGTGGTGGGGTCTCCTTCCCTGGAGACATCCAAAACCCGCCTGGATGCATTCCTGTGTGATCTATTCTGGGTGGTCCTGCTCTGGCAGGGGGGTTGGACTGGATGATCTTTCGAGGTCCCTTCCAACCCCCAACATTCTGTGATTTTGATTCGCTTGGGCCCCCCCCCAACAGCTGACTGCAGCCAGTACAGCGCTGCAGGGTCTTTTCTCTTGCCTCCAGGCAGCGGTGGAGGGCGGGAGGCCCCATCGTAGCTGGTTTCTCTTGCTGATGGTCAGCCATCTCCTCTCTTCTCAGGCAAGGGCAGAGGTCGGCAGGTGATAGCTGTGGCCAGGACAGCAGACGTCGTTATTATGATGCTGGATGCCACAAAGGGTGAAGTGCAGAGGTGAGTGTGTGCCTGTGGAGCTGTGGGGTGGTGGGCCAGGTTCAGGGGTTCCCACACGCCCAGGAAACATGCCAGCTCCCTCAAGTGACGTGCCCCGTGCCTCTTGGGGAACCGGTACTTAAGCCACTGAGGATGAGATGGAGGTTGTACTCCTCCAGGAGCGTGCTAGCTAACTGGCTTGGGCTTCTCTAGCTGAAGGATTGTTCCCACAGGATGGCTGTTCAGAGTTGGGGACCTGAACAAATCAACCTAGATTTGCACCACGGGCTCTGTCCTGCCTTAGCTGTGGTTTTTAGGTTGTAGGGACAGCTTGTGGCAAGGCTGTATCACTGGGACAGGCCAGCAGGAAAGGTGTGGGTGTCACCTGGCTGCGCTGCCTCACAGGTACTAACGGGCACTGTCCCTGCAGGGCCTTGCTGGAGAAAGAACTGGAATCTGTGGGAATCCGGCTGAACAAAAGCAAACCAAATATCTACTTCAAGGTGAGGTTTTCTGGGCTTGTGTCTGGCTGCCTACTCAAAGCCAAGGTCGCCGTGTGCCGCCCCTCGGGCTCGACAGACCGAAGCGGGGGGGGTGGTGGAGGTTGCAGACTGTTCTCACGTTGCTTCCTTGCCTCCCTGCAGCCGAAGAAGGGTGGAGGCATCTCCTTCAACTCAACCGTCACGTTGACTCAGTGCTCCGAGAAGTTGGTGCAGCTCATCCTCCACGAATATAGTATCCTTTCCTAAAAGGGGAGACCCTTTAAGGCATCAGCAGCTCACGAGTCAAGGGGTACCTGCTGCGGGGACAGCCTTGTTGTGCCTTTGTGGTGCTTGCTGGGTTGGCAGCAGGCTTTCAGGAGCAAGCTCAGCCCCTTGGCTCGCGGCGATGCGTATAGGTGCGTTGGGATTTGGGCCTTGACAACGTTCACCTCAGAAATCTTCAACGCTGAGGTCCTTTTCAGAGAGGATTGTTCCCCTGATGAGTTCATTGACGTGATTGTAGGCAACAGGGTCTACATGCCGTGCCTCTACGTGAGTATCTCGGGGAAGAGCCTGCCTTCTGCCGCACCGAGCATCTCCGTTCTTCGCTGGAGGGAGCGCGGGGGGCTTCGTGGTTCCTAAAGGAGGGACGATTTGGGGTTCAAGAGGTGGAAAGCACAGCTCGACGGGGAGCTTTTTATCAGCTTTACACGGGGGGTGGGTGGGGGCCGCGCTCTGCGTGTGTTCCCTGTGCCCTCTTGTGGCTGCCTGCCGCGGAGCAGCGTGAGCTGCCTGTCCTGCTGCCGCGGGGTTTGCTCCCGCGCCGCGGAGCCTTCCGAGTCCTGAGCTCTGCGCTTGGCTTCCCACTGCCGCTCCCTTGTGCCCCAGGTCGCTTAATGGGCTCTGGTAGCGACTGTGTCGATAGTGAAATCAGAGATAGCGGAGAACGTGTTGCAGGTCATCCCAAAGGGAGCGCTTTAAAAGGCCCCAAACTTCCATTTAGGCTTCTGATTTTTAACAGGTGGTTTTACGAAGAGCCTTGGCTTGTCCTCTGGCTGATGGGATCCGAGTTTCTGTTTCAGAGGCTGGAACTACCTTGTTTTACCTACGTGCCTGTGTCTTCCTTGCAGCGTTGCTGAACTGACTTCCTAAAGGATGTGTTGTTTCTCCTTTGACTTAGGTTTATAACAAGATTGACCAGATATCTATGGAGGAAGTGGATCGTCTTGCTCGGAGACCCCACAGCGTTGTGATCAGGTAGGAGCCTGCCACGCCGCCCGGGTGATGTGGTGGTTCATTCCATACCCCTTTCTCCAGCTTCTTCCGAGAAGGGGCTTCTCCCAGGGCTGCCTGCAGCTGCTGGGGTGAGAAGCAGAGCCGCTGTGCAGCATTTTCCAGGCTGCTTGGCTTCTCCACACTGTCTGCAGGCCAGAGTAAGCCAGTCTAGCTTGTTTCCTTAGAAGTGCTGATACATCTGACTGGGGCTTTGCTGCTTCAAAGCTGCTCGCCCTTCTCAAAGCCCTATTTATTTCACCTTGTGTTTTTCCTTTGCTGGCCTCATTAAAGACTTCTCCCCTTGCTCCCTGGCACTTTAATAAGGCGTTTCACCTTGTTCTTCTGGATCTCTAAATCACCACAGCCCTAAACACAGAGATGTTCCCGGTGTTTTGCAGCTGTGGCATGAAACTGAACCTGGACTACTTGCTGGAGAAGCTTTGGGAATACCTGGCACTTACCTGCATCTACACCAAGAAACGAGGACGTAAGTGACCATTAGCTGAACAGAAGGTGTGAAAGGCTCCTCGAAGGCAGCCAGGCTGCCAGCGGGGCTTGGATCGCCTGGCTGTCAGCAATCCTGTGTCTTGGAAATGCTGCAATTACGTTCTCCCTGACCAGCTTCCAGCTCTTGGGAAGTGCTTTATGTTCCATCGGATCCAGCCGTGCGCGTGTCCCACCACGGCCCTCCTGTTCTCTCTGCGCTAGGAGAGATGAATTTTCCTAAATTTCCTAAAAAATCCTTTGCATGATATGAGGAAATAAAGCGTGCAAGTTCGCAGCTTTCTTCCTTGTTCTGCACACCCCGTGATGAGCTGTTCAGCCCATCGCTACCCAGAAGAGGTCTCCTGTTCCTATGTGGGAGGTTTGGTCATTCCCATACCAGGCTCCTGAGGCTCAG